AGACCAGCCCAGGCAACGCGATGAGACCCTGCCTCAAATAAGAAAGTAACCTGAAGACAGCTGGATCCTTACTTATGAGGCAGTTTTGCAAGAGCCACAGTGGTCCTGTCATCAGAGGAGACAAGGCTCTCACAGCAGGGCTCTGCCTCTTTGCCGCTTGTAACCTGTGTGGTCACCGAAGGCCCCATGCTCGGGTGCCCTGAGCTCAGCTCAAAGCTCCGCTGTGACCATGTCCAACCTATTAATAATGTTTGAACGAGGGGCTCTGTTTCTCTCTGGGTCCCCCGAATTACAGAGCTGGTCCTGCCGAGGGTGCAGGGGGATCGTCTCCTGGAGGCTTCCTCACACCCGTGTCGTGTGACGGCAGCGTGACCTTCAGGGGAGTACGCCAGGTGCCATTTCTCCTAAGCGTTAAAGGACCCCAGGTGTGAGGCCCTGGCCGTAGTGTCCAGGTTGTCTCTCGCAATGTGATAAACCAACCTCAACTCTGCTGCTTGAAAAACAGTGGCCACGCGGTGGGTCCCGACTCTGTGGCTGGGCCTGGGCTTGGCAGGGAGGCCCGCTCCTCACACGGTTCCCTCCGGATGACTCCACTTCCAAGGGGGCTGGCACCCTCTTGTCGGCCACCTGCGCCCTCTGAGACCCGTGTGGGCTCCCTCAGCGTGGTGCTGGGGCCTGGGCCAGGGTCTTCAAACCCGAACACTGTCACTTTCGACACACTGATGGCCCAGCAGGTCCAGAGCCCAGACGCATGGGGAGGGGACATAGGTCTCCCTGCTTGGATGGAGGAGTGTCAAAGCCTTTGGAGACCACACGCTGGGCCTGGCACGGTGCTGACCGTCACCTATCACCGTGTTTCCACTGTGGGTGGTTCCACGGCTGTTCGTGGCGTTGGCCCTGGGAAGCGAAGTACCCTGGCAAGGTCCCCATTCTCCTGGCTGGAATCCAAACCAAGTCTCTCTGGCCCCAGAGCGTGGGCCCTTGGCCAGGAGGCGGACCCTTGCACTCCGGGACCCATCGGGTCTCCAGGTGGCGGGGCTGGGACTCCAGTCCCCAGTTGTCTGATTCAAGGTACCGGAGGGGCTGGGGCGGGGGCGGGGGCTCAGCGGTAGAGCGGTCGCCTAGCACATGCAAGGTGCTGGGCTTGGTCCTCAGCACCTCACAAAAGTGAATAAATAAAATAAAATCAAGGTATTGTGTCCAATGACAACTAAAAAATACATTTTTAAGAGTATTGGAGGCGCCTTCTAGATTTTAGAAAGGAAACTGAGCTCTGGAGGCCTTGCCTGGCCTCCCCTGAGAAGACGGGGTGGCCAGGATCTGGCACCTTCTAGGGCAGGATGGGGGCCCCCCCGGGGCTGCACAGAGCCCAGCCAGGAAGTTGCAGAGCTGTGGGCAGATTATGCAAGAACAGGCAGTCAGCGGGGACTTTGTTTTTCACGGTGATCACACTTCATTCAGGAAATACCCACGGCTTTGGTGTGTGTGGAGGGAGGGCCCCTCACCCGGGTGGAAGACCCTCTTGTGACAGTTGGGCACTCATGAGGTGAACCAGCATCCCCTGGGCCAGCTCACTCACCAAATTTTCCTGGGAGCCACTCTGCCCTCTGCACCAGGCTCTGATAAGAGAGATGAAGGGGTTCTAGCCCTGGCATCCAGAAAGTCATGCTTCAGGGGAGACAATAGGAACGATTTCTTTGGCTATAAACCTCACAGAGCATTCAGAAGTGGCTCGCGTTATCATACACTACAAGTGAGAAAACTGAGGCACAGAGTAGTTAAGTCACTTGCCTGAGGTCACACAGCTGCTAAGTGGTACAGCCAGGATTCAAACCCAGGCCACCTGGTTGACAGTTGTCAGCTCCCAAGTGCTCAGCCACGCCCTTCCACTGCGGCTCAAGCTGGGGTCACACTGTGCTGTGGACCCACCTCCACATAGAGCTTCATTTCATCCTCCCTATAATTTACCACTATTCTAAAATTGGCTTAAGAAAGCTAATTAACGTGGTGAAATTCAAGTTTACCTTGCTGGAATTTGAATTCCAGGCCCTGTAGAATACTGTGTAGGAGTCTGTGGGCCAGGAAATGCACAGGTTACAGAACGTACCTCCTGCCTTACCATTCCACTTTCCCTTCCAAAGCTTAGCTCCGGCCATTCCTTCCTACGACCTTCAATGTCTCCCCAGTGCCGCAATCTCATCCAGTCCTCCGGGAAGATCTGCCAAACGTCAGGAACCGGCTGGGTGCTGTGGAGCACAGGGCAGTGCAGTTCTCCAGTGTCACACCCGACTGAAGCCTGTGCTCCTGGAGCCCCACTGAAGACACCCAGCCCAGACGCTGGGCCTCCACTGCCTCCTCTGTGGAATGGGTTCCATAAGCAAAGTGCCCCCAAAGGGATGTGGTAAGGACGAAGCTCATACATTAATTTATTGAATAAATATGTTTCAACCCCAAACTGTATGCCCTGTTGGGGGCTGGGGACACAGCCCTGCCTTCATGGAGAGTGACAGGGAAGAATGTTTGGGATCACGTTAGCTTCTTGCGTGCTGATCCTCGGGGTTAACAGTTCCTGGGATCCTCATTGGCTGGTGGTAACTGCTATAAGGACCAAGAATTCAGCAGCACACAGGGCCCCTCGTGGGGGTCGGGGTGCACGGTGTTTGGGGTGAGGGGTCTGGAAGAGGGAGCAACGCAGGGCGGGAGTGAGCCACTGGGGCAGTGTAAGTCTGGGGTGGCTGCTGCCTCTACCCCACCCCCCACATTTGCATCTCCAGGTTTCTAAAGAAGAAAGGGCCCAGACGATTTTGTGGGTGGAAACTGTTCTGCAGGTCCGGGAAGGGAGGCTGGAGGGCTGGCCGGCAGTCGGGGGGAAGTAGCAATAGTGGGGAGCTCGGGGGGAACTGGCACCCACGGGGGTTTCCTTCCAGGGTGAAGGGGAAGAGCAAGGCTGGACACTTCAGGAACCCAGTGAGGAAACCTCCTGCGCCCAGGGGACCTAGGGTCCACTCTGGGGTGGCAGAATACATAGCTGCCACCAAGTTCTGAGTCTGTGTTCGTGGAGCACCCACTAGGTGCCAGGAGCTATAGATTCCCAGCCTCCCTGAAGAGCAGAGGCTGCTGATCCCATTCTACAGTTGAGGAAGGGGAGGATCCGGGAGATGAAGTGATTTGTCCAAGGTCAAAGTTTCGTGCCAGTAAATGGCCAGAGCTAGGACTCACCCCCAGGTCTAGGCGATGGCCAAATTGTTAGCCAACTGCCTAAAACGGTCTCCCGAGGTTTCTTGTGTGCTGATCCCCGGGGCTTAACAGTTCCTGGGTCTTTTTTTTTCTAGTTGTCAATGGACTTTGTTTTTATTTATTCATATGCGGTGCTGAGGATCGAACCCAGTGCCTCACGCATGCCAGGCGAGTGCTCTACCACTGAGCCACAACCCCAGCCCCAAGAGCAGGGTCTTGATGGACTGAGGGCAAAGGGACAGCAGCTACTCTGCCTGGCGTATGCAGTAAGTGCTCAGTAGGTACATGCTGGGTCTGCAGGACCGTCCTGGGGAGTGGGGACATCCAGCTTGCTGGGGGAGGAAGTATCATGAAGACAGAGTTCACCCTGTGCCACTAGAGGTGGCCAAGTCACTGCCACCTGCTTCAAGAAGCCTCAGGGCTCCTCAGCCAGGGCTGCTTTGACCCTCCTCTGGGTTGTCGGCCTCCTGTCCCCAGCTCCTGCAGGGAGGGTGTCCATGCTGAGTCACCATGTCCAGTCCTGCCCAGCTCTGGCTCATAGTCCTAAACATCTGACTAAGCAAAGATTGGGAAATGGGACTGGGGAAAATCACTTTTTTCTTCCCCTTTTTGAATAAGGGACGGGGAAAGTTGCTGGGGAGAGGAGTCCGTGATGTCAGCACTACGTGCTTCTTGCTGGTGGCTGGAGGCCGGGTCTCAAGGCTGTGCTTCCTCCAGGGAAGGCTGGGTTCTCTGTCAGGGAACAGGACGGGCCACCCCGTGTCTGCCCCTGTGCCCCATCACTCCCTCTCCCTCTCTGCTCTCTAACTGCTCTTGCTCCGAACTGAGGCCTCACTAATGAGGAAAAAAATTGATGAGGACACCGAGGCCTGGGAAGGAGAGAGACTAACAAGATCACAGAGAGAATCGGCGGCCATAGAGCCACACGGGCCGTAATTCAGCCCCTCCCTGAGGGGCTGCCTGGGGAAAGCCTTGTGTCCAGGGCCCTAGAAGAGCCCCAGGTTCTCCATCTGTGAAGCAGAGCCTCTGCCACGAATGGCCCAATCTAACAAGCGGCCACTGCCTGGCAAACCCCGCAGGAAACAGACTTCAGATGACAACGAGGCTTGTAGGTGTGCCCACTCTCTGGCTGCGTGGACTGAGATGAGCAGCTTCAAATAATCTATAAAACAGTAGCATCAGGCCCTGCCGTTCAGCACTCCTGGGGTTACCGCAGGTATCAGTGGATCCCAGATGTAGAAGAAGAGATTCGGGAGGGTGTGCAGGCTCCTTTCACCCCTGCCCCACCACGAAAAGATGTGGGCGAAGTGCAGAATGAATGAAGGGTGCACTACGTTCATGGATGGGATAAACTGATGCCGCGGCGATGTTCACTCTCCCCCAAATCCACCCGTCGCTTTCGTGAAGCGACTTAAATCCCAGTTGGAGTTTCAGGAACTTGACAAATGGATTTTTAAATATACATATGTATATATATATTACATAGACACACACACACATATATATATAGAACATTTTAAATACATATACATATTTTATATATACATATATACAGAGAGATAATAAATATACATAGGCTATATATATGTATGGCTGGGGCTGGGGCTGGGGCTCAGTGGTAGAGCAGTTGCCAAGAATGTATGAGATGCTGGGTTCGATTCTCAGCACCACGTCTAAGTAAATAAATAAAACAAATGTCCATCAAAAATACATAAATTTTAAAAAATATATATATATATAATAATACAGAACGACTTCAAAACTAAGTATGGTTTGAAAAAGAATAGGAAACAAACATTCTAAACATTCTATGAAGCTCTACTAGTGAAAACCAAGTAGAAGTGACCCAGGAATGAAAAGGCCAAAGGAGGAAAGTAGACCATTTGGAGATAAACCAGACAAACCCGTGAACTTACGGTAAACAGTGGAAAGCTGGGCAGTCTGGTCTATGGTGAGAGAACGACGGTTAGGTCTCTGGGCCTTACGTTCCTACAGCCCAGATGTGTGAAGGACCTAGATGTGAAGAGAAAACACAGAAAAATATATTTATGACCTGCAGGAAGAGAAGGACCATTTAACTATAATCCAAATGGCAAGACATGGATGGACTCGGTCACATTGAAATCAAGGATTTTTTTTTTTTAAACGACAAAGGAACTTGAGGAACTTGACAAATGGATTTTTGTTGGTAAACAAGGAGACCAAACAGGTGACAGATGAATTATTTGCCATGTCTAAAAATGACAAGGGATTAATATCTAGAATATACAAGAAATTATTGCAAATCTACAAGAAGACAGGAAATAATAAAAATGTGATCAAAGGATGTGAACAGGCAGTTCACAGAAGGGGAACCCCCAGTGACTAACCAGTAAAGGAGAGGCGACCAGACCCACGGATATTCAGAGAAATGCAAATGCCATCCGTGGGCCCCGTGTCACACCCGTCAACCGGCCCAAATCAGAGCACTGACTAATGGCGGCTTGGGGGGAGTGGGAGGAGATGGGAACTCTGGAGCCAAGCCCATGGCGGTATGGTCATCTAGAGGACTTGTGGGCAGTGGCAGGAAAACAGTCAGTACCCCGTGGTCCAGCGGTCCCCTTCTGCAGATCTCAAACCCCTGAACAGCACCATGTGGTCTACAAGAACCCGGCCCCGCAGGGATTTCTGTGGGGACGGGAGCAATGGGAGAAGAACTGGGGGGTGGGGGGTAAAGCAAGAGAGGCCCCTTGGAGCTGCAGTGGAGCTCGGTGGCCCTTTCTGTACCTGGGGTCTAAAAATTGAGAGCGAGAGAGAATTTATGCAAAATAAAGATTCTGCTCAGACCAGCCACAAAAAAGGCGAAATACCTGGGAATCATTACAGGAAGGATGCGTTTGGGTGATAGGAGAATCATGGTCTTGCCTGGACCCGAAACACCATTTATAAGGAGATGGTGGGCCCAGAGAGGACCAGGGCATGAGGCGGGGTGGGGGGGGGGGGGGCGGGGATAATATCTAAAATGGGAAGGCAGCTGCCGCTCTTCTCGGAGTCTGGAGACTTGTGGTCCGGGAAGGGACCAGCTGCTCCTTAGGTCCCCCTGGGCTGGAATGAGACGCAGTGAGGGGGGGTAGAGTTGGACAGAATGGAGGACAAGGGAGTGGGAGTGGGGTTAGAGGGTCCCCAGAGAGACCCAGGGTCCCCCTCGCTCATCCATCAAATAAGAGGAATCCTGCAGGGCCTTGGGGAGGCGAGAGCGGGAAGCACTTGGAAGACACCGAGGCTGTAGAAGGAAACTCCTGTGGGTTCCCAGCGGCTGCAGACGTGGCACGTGGGAGTCTCACGAGCCGCTGGCCCGCTCCATCGTGGGAGAGGGATTTGGCAGGACCCAGCAAAAAGGAAAATGTGCAGCCCCGCCCCCTGCCCGCCCGGCAGTTCTACTTTCTAGGTTCACGACCTAGAGAAACTCTTAGCCCCGTGCCTGGGAAGGCAGGTGTCAGCATGTGCATGGCCGCGCAGGGGACAGAGCAGAGGTTCAACACCAACAGCCGCGACAGGGAAGCAGACCGGGCAAGGAGTGGATGGGGTGGGGGTGGGGGCCAGATCGGAACCCAGAACCCATCAACTTGGAATGTTCTCAGAAACACCGCAGAGGGGGAAGCCAGGGCAGGACAGTGCCCGGTGCTCCCTGGTTGGTGGAGACGTAGACCCTGACTGCGGGAAGCAGTCATCTCTCACTGTCCACAGGCATGGGTTCCAGGACCTCTTCCTTCGAATACAAAAACCCAGGGACGCTCAAGTCCCCGCTCCACAGTGTTTGCATATAACCGCAAATGTTCTCCTGGCTACTCTCCACCATCTCCAGATCCTTCTAATACCTGAGTGCCCCGGGAGAGTTGTCAGGCTGCTCAGGGAATAAACACAGAAAGAAGTCTGGGCATGCTCAGTACACGTGCAACATTTTATTGTGTTTTAGATTATTTTCAATGCTCGGTTGCATGAATCTGTAAATTCAAAACCCGCAGATACAGAGGGCCAGCTGTAATACTCGACACTGTTCATTTACGGAGGCGGAAAATGGACTAGAGAGAAGTACGGTAAACTCAGAGTAATTGTCGTGCTTGGAGAAAAGGCACTGTAGTGAGAACTGGGCTCTAAAGTCAAGGGCTTCCTGTTTTTTCTTTTCAGGTCCTGGGGATTGAACCCAGGGGTGCTTTCCCACTGGGCCACATCCCCAGTCTTTTTTAAAATTTTATTTGCTAAGCTGCTTGGGGTCTTGCTAAATTGCTGGGGCTGGCCTCAAACTTGTGACCCTCCTGCCTCAGCCTCCAGAGTCCCTGGCATTACAGGCATGTGCCATCATGTCTGGCAATAGCTTCCATTTCAATTATAAAATAAAAGCATTTGTGGCAAAAAAAAATAATTCAACACGTGTTTACCAAGAGCCCTCCCCCCCTTTTTTTCCATAGCTAATTTTCTCTGTGATGCTTTCTAGGTGCCAGGGACCCAGGGACCCAGCAGAGAGCACATCAGACAAGATTCCAGCTGCGATGTGCGAGGCACATGATAAATAGACAGGGAATCTCACCAAGGGCTACAAAGAAGTCAGGCAGCTACTTCAGTGAGGGTTCAGGGAAGCCGCTCTGAAGAGGTGACATCTGGGCAGAGACGGAGGGAAGTGAGGATGTGAGTGAGTCACCAAGGCTTCTGGAGGAAGCTTGCTCCAGATGGAGGGAACTGTCACAGCAAAGACCCACGGAGGGAGCTGCTTCCTGTGTTCCAGGAACAGCCAGGAGGCCCATGGGGTCACGTTGATGTGACACGAGGTCACAGGGGAACAGGGACAGCCTGGTAGTTAACACCTGTCAATCGTGGGTAGCAGGATATGGGGCTTCCTTATATCTTGCTTTGTACTTTTTTTAATTTCAAAAAAGATTCAAACAAGATTAAGGTAGGATGGAGACAGATGGGCGTCAAATGACAGCCACGTGGTTCTTAGCAGGTTGAAAAAGAAGACTTTCATCAGGAAAAGGCCCTGCCTGGTGACAAGGGCCAACAGTGAAGCCCGCTCTTGGGCAGTGGTTTGGACAGGACAGGCACCTTCCCAGGTACTGTGAAAGGAAGTGGATTGGCATGAAGCCCAGAGGGATGGAGCGCACCCCACCTCCCCACATCTTGCAGAAGCCACAGAATCCCCCAGCATGAGGACAGGAGGGGTGCTCAGTCCTAGTCCAGAGCTGGTGAAGGCCAGGAGACTCTGCTGTGGCTGCCCCGTCCCCACCCAGACACACCTGGCTCCATGATCCTTTTTTTACAAAGTCTGGCCTCTGAGTCCTTCTCAACCAGAGCCCCAGACAGCCACTACCAAGGGCACCAGGCATTCAGAATGAAACCAGCCACCTCCCCCCACCCCACTCAGCCCTCTCATGTTAAGATAAGATGCTGGCCGGGCATGGTGGCACATACCTGAATCCTAGGGACTCTGGAGCCTGGGGCAGGAGGGTTGCAAGTTCGAGGCCACTTGGGCCTCTTAGCGAGATCCTATCTGAAAATAAAAAGAATAAAAAGGGCTGAGGGTGTAGCTCAGGGGAAGAGGGACCTGAGATGGAGAGGAGAGGAGGCACTAGCCCACGTTCCCACAGGGACGGGGCGAGAATAGAAATTCCCCTGAATCTTAGCTGGCCCTGCTTGTAGGGCTTAGAGACCCAAAGATTTGTTGTTGTTGTTGTTTCCAGAAGGTTTAGGACTGATTTTGGGGAGAGGTGACCCAGCATGGGGAGGTATGGGAGGACACAGGGAGGGGAAGCCTGCAGGAGAAGACTGGCCCCTTCCCTCAATCGTCTTTGAGAGCTGGGGTGGGGAAACGGAGAGCTGCACCCCCAGACCCTCTCTCTCTCTGGAAGGAGATGGGGACAGGAGCTGGTGAGCGTTTGTGGGTCCAGTGTCCCCAGCCTGATGTGTCTGCTTCAGCCCAAGGTGTGCGGGCGGGCGGGCAGGTAGAGCAGCTTGCAGGGCTGTGGTAACACCAAATGCTGCTTCCTGTTTGAGATTTTAGGACATGAGTCATCAAGGGGTTGGCCCAGTACATTCAGTGCTGAGATAAGCAGGACAGTGGGACAAGAAAAGGTTGCTCGTCCTGACTGGGGTCCAGGCTGGGTGGGGGTCCTGCTGCCCACCAGCAGCCTTGTAACATGGGGTGGCCCTGGGTCCCTGGAGGCCAGGTCTGAAGGACCTGGTTCTGGAGCTGCTTCTGAAAAATCACTCGGACAAGAACATTGCATAGACACCTCCCCAACAGCGGCGGTCGCCCTTCCCTGTACCACCACAGTGGTCCTCCGCCACAGCACCTGCTACATCTAACCCTCTGTAGAGTTTCCCAAAAGGTGTCCCTTCGCCACCTGGGGGCTCTTTGTAAAGCCAAATGATCATCAGGCATGGGAAGGGGCCTAGGAATCTGCATGTCGTTAACAGGGCTTCCAGATGCTGGCTGAAGCTAAACAGCCAATTCCTCCCAAAGGTCTACCAGACTACCTGGCATATAGTAAGTGTTCAGTTAACAGCCTGACCTGTCCCACACGTGTGGCCTGATTCAGCAGAGACTTTTCCCGCCCGTAGGGTCATAGTCATCGCTTGCTGGAGTGTGACATATGAGTGTGTGTGTGGTGGGGGAAGCTTTCTGACAACCAGGGGCTGCCCTGGGAAGTAAGGGAAGTCTTTAGAGCCCCAGACTAAGTTTCAAATACTATGCATGCAGCCCTTGGGTTGGCAACTAGAAGGCCATCATCCTGTCTGTGTTAGAAATCTCCTGGTTACCCACTGCAAGGAACAAGTGACACTTTTTCTCTCTGTGGAGATGGAGGGTCTAAGAGACGCACAGCAGGGGAGTCTAGGTGGTCCTGTCTACTCTGATATGGGTATGACCGGGATGGCTGGATCCCTGAGCTGCGCCTGGTAAGTACTCTGCATCTGCTCACTCGGGTCTCATCCTCCAACGCCTTCTGCATACATGTGGCTCCGGATCAGTCTTCATTGACTTCCATTTCATTGAGCTCCTCCTTTTGTGTATCTCCTGGTCACCAGGGAAACAGATGGGACCATGACCATGTCTCTCTGCTCTCGAGGGCTAAATAGCCCTGCAGTGTGACAGGCAGCCTAGCCTAGCAGAACTCTGACTCTGCAGCAGCCAAAACAGGGTTGGCTTTGCTGTACCCCTTCTGAGCTGTATAAGGTTCTGTGAAGCTTGCCATCTCCAGGGCAAGACACGGTGTATCACCAGACATAGGCTGGTGACCCAGAGGAGACTTCCGATAACTGCTAGTATCACAATTACTAAGACAGGACTGAGACATGCACGCAACTAATAACTAGTAAGAGCATTCTGCTAGCTGTCTGTACAGATGGCCATGCTGTCCTGCCCGGCTGAGCAGGGTGTGGTCAAGGGCAGCTTCACAGAGGAGAGAGAGTGGGGCAAACAGGGAGGGAAAGACATCCTGAGCAGGGGACCTGGGTGGGTAGAGGCAAGGGGGTGGGAGCTCAGTTACTCTGGAAGTCACAGGTGTGTGCATGGGCTTGGCTGGTTGTAGTGCCCATCAGCTTGGCAGTAGCTTGCTCCAGGACACGAACCCCTCAAACGTCTCACTGAGGAAGCTGAATTCAATTGTGAAGGCTGTGGGGAGCCATGGCCAGGTCAAATGTCTCAATCTGGACATCATCGATGAGTCTCTGTTATGGTGTTGCCTGTGCATTGTGGGAGGCTCCGGAGAGCCCCGGCCTCTACCCACTGGATGTTCACAGTGCCTCTCCCTGTCCCCTACAGTGTGTCCCAGATGTTGCTACATGTGCCTGGGGTGGGAGTGGAGGGCAAAGTCACCCCCTGGTTGAGAGCTACTGCACTAGGAAGTGGCAGGGGCAAGGGTGGCATGCCTCTGAAGGCTGGAGGACAGATTGCAGAAGTGGAGCCGGGGGCCCAGAGGTTCCTGGAGCATCACTAGTGAGAACCGGCCAGGCCAGGGCCAAGGCTGGGCTGGGGGCAGGGGTGGGCCCTGTGATCCGGGATGTTAAAGGGACTGTCCTTGATATCGCTGAGTTTCCCAGATTCCCCAACGGCAGGTACGATATGGCGGGTGTCAAGATCAATCCCTCATCCAGAGGAAGAAGTCCTGGGCCACCTGTGCAGGTCACACCAAGAGGAACAGGTCTCTCCAGAATCGGTTCTGCTCTATCTCCAGCCTAAACCAAGCCATGGGGGAGAAGCCAGGAGACAGGATTTAGGGAAGGAGTCGCTATTGTGCTGAGCGCCCCTTGCTGCCCTTTGGGGGAGAGGGAGACACTCCCCTCATCTTGGACCAACCAGGAGGGGCTGTGAGGGTCCAACCTGGGAGCTTTATATCTCAAGAGACCATAACACCCGTCGGGGAGTCTTGTCTGTTTTGCCCAATGCTGAGTCCCCTTCACCTCAGGGCAGGCATACAGTTGGTGCTCCATAAAAGAGCCTGTGGTTAGGCTGTGAGGCATCATTGCTGGAGTAGCAGCACGGGGCAGGGATATGAGCTGTGTGGCAACTGTGCACCCCAGGGAGGAAGCCAACCTGGGGCAGTCTCTCCCCCAAAGTGCTTCCTGTGGGGATGTCACCTCAGCAGAAGCCTGGAGGACCAGGGTGGGGGCAGAATCAGCAGCAGAATCTCCAAGTGCCCCCAGAGAGAAGGAGCCAGAAGCTGCCTCCCAGAGCCTCCCGTGCCAAATACGTGACAACTTTGGTTGTCATGGAACACTGTCCCCTCTTCTCCCTCAATCTGTGCCCCCTGGGCCTGACCTGTACTTGGCAGAGGTAAATGAGACATCACCACATCCTCAAACCTGGGTGGCCCCACCTGGGAGGAGAGATTTGGAACATGAACAGCCCCCAGAACGGGGACCGCTATGGCTTGACGATGTTGCAACTCATGTTGGAATTCAATCCCCATTATGGGGTGTTAAGAGGGTGGAGCCTCTGAGGAAGGCACTTTCAGGACTGGTGGCTCTGTAAGGAGGGAGAGTGACACACACATACACACACTCACACACACACTCATAGTACCCTTGCTCACTCCTTGTCTCTTGGCTTGTGACGCCCTGTGCCTCTTTTCTTGCTCAGCCAGCAAGGAAGCCCTTACCAGGTGCAGCCCTTCTACCTGGGACCAGAAATGTCTTCTCCTTATAGTGTGACACTGGGTTGTCACAACAGAACACAGACCAAGACAGGAACTCATGGCAGGAGGCTCCCACCTGTGGTTTCTGATAGTGCCACTTGCCAGCTGGAGGGACCCACTGGGTGGGAGATGTGTGGGACATCCAGGGACAACTACTATCCCCTGCTTCCTCCAGGGGCATCCCACTCAGAGAGGACTGAGACATGCAAGCAACTAATAACTAGCCTTCCACTGTCTCCTCCAAACTGTTCCCACATGAGCTGTAAGGGCCCAGGCAACTCCTGATGCATGTCCTGGTGGCTGTCCCTCTCTGCACAGTTACGGCAGCTGTGCCCTCAGCCTGGCCCGTGTTGCAGAAACGTGGGAACCAGGTGATTCCCCAGACTCCTGACCAGGAGTTGGGATTTTCCACCCTCCACGGGTCACTTCCTGGTTTCTCTCTCAGCACCTAGAAGTACCATCCATGTGGTCTCCCTGATGGGGGTTGGTGGCCTGACACAGGCCTCTGTACCTCCTCAGCAGCCTGTGGAAGCATGCAGAACAGACCACTGCCATCTCCCCTCCCCACCCCTCCAAAACACCCCTGCGCTGGGCTGGAAGAAGGCTTTCTGGCCACACAGGACTGGCTGTGGCATTAAGGGCTGACACTCTAAGTGAGGGGGCAGGGATGGCAGCTAGAGTGGGCCGTCAGAGATGAACGAAATCCCAGGAGAGCAGCCCTGCTGGACTTGGCATGAGCTAGCTCAGGTGGCCCCCGTGGCTTCTTGGAGGGCTTCCTCCACCAGCTTTTGATTACCTGCCAGCTGAGAAGACTCAGGAAGGACAGGGCAGCCTCTGGCTCATTCCAAAGGGTTCTGTGAATGTTTAAGGAGGAACAAAAGAAAAGCAGTAAGAACAGGAAAAGCACAGGGAGAGCCGACTCGGGCCTCTAATTCCCAGCGCTTGCCCTAGGAGGCAGGAGCATCAGACTGAGGCAAAGGTTCCAGACCAGCCACGCAGCTTAGCAGGACCGGCTCAAAATTAAAAATAAAAAGGCTGGAGATACAGCTCAGTGGTAAAGTGCCCCTGGGTTTAGTCCCCAGTAGGGGGTCAGGGGAGGGCCAGCTAGTGCTTATACAGTGCTCCTTACATGACAGAGACATTTATTTATAAGCACACATAACACCTACTCTACTGTGTATATCATGTATCTTCCCAAAGGTCCTGTGAGGTGCAGAGATTCATAGGCAGGTGATCTGGCTCCAGAGTCTAAACGAGCGAATGATCTAGAAGCCCTGGGTCCCCTACAACAGGTGTCAGCTTTGGGGCATGTTTTTCCGAGGTGGTCCTACCCTTCTGGAGGGGTGGCTGCTGGGAACCGAGGCGGGTCGGTGGAGGAGGGCAGGAGAAGAGGCCCAGCCGTCCCCAGTGCGGGTCCCTTGCCCTCCGCTGGAAGGGTGGCTCGCAGCGGTGGGGGAGAGCGGGGCGGCGGGCGGCTTAGGGGCGTGGGGCGTGTCCTCGGTGGCCCCGCCCCTGCCCTGGGGCTCGCGGCCCCGCGGGCTTTCGCTTTCAGTAGCAGCCGCCGGAGGGGAGCGCGGCGCAAGCAGAGGTTCTGGGGACCTGGGCGCGAGGGCGCAGCCCGCCGGACCCGCCGCCGCACATGGCGCCTGCCGCCCTCTGGGCCGCGCTGGCCGTCGGACTGCAGCTCTGGGCGGCGGGGCACGCCGTGCCCGCCCAGGTGGGTGACTCGCGCGGCCGCGGGGGACAGAGCCCACCGTGCCCATCCTGGTGCCGAGGGGCTGGGAGGACAGGGTCGCCGACCTGCTCCCTGGGACGCGCCACGCGCCTATGGGGACCATCTGGGCACCGTGGGCCCGGCACACGTGCGCCTCGGGTGGAACTGGGTTCTCCGCAGCATCGCTGTCGCCTTCGGGGACACACCTCGGTTCCTGGGCCCGCGCGGGCCGGGACTTTGGGGCCGAGCAGCTGGAGCCCCCTAGACCCAGAACCCCCGTCCTCCTCCCCTGCGGTGCTGGGGCAGCCCTTCCCTCCTGTCCGGCGGGGTGGGGGCTGTCTGGGGCGCTGTCCCCACTGCCCAGGGCAGGCGCCCTCTTCAGAAGACTTCCTCCTCCGCGCCAGGGCTTTGCTCTTTCTTAGAAATGCTTGGGCTGCGTGTCGGAGGCTGCGGGCCAGGTGTGTAGCGAGCCGCCCCGTTGCCCCTGCCCAGCTCCTCCCGGGACTCCCCTGATAGGTCCTGGGGCCCCTGCGGGTCTGTTGGTGGGCTCGGGACAGGGCCCCGCCTGGCCATCAAGCAAGGCAGAGGTGCTCTCCAAGGGGCCCCAGGAGGATGAAGACAACAGAGACCCCGATATTCAACATTCACATCATACCCACAGTAGCAAGGCCGGGTCTCTAGGGGGCTGGGGGTCCTGTTTCTCCGTGGCTGGTGAGATGGGCTAACCTGGTTTTACGAGGGAAAACTGAGGCCCTGAGGGCTTGGGGGTCATTGGAAGGACTGGGGGTGGTGCTCTTTTCTCAAAGGGCATCCCTGTCTTTCTCCCAAGGTGTGCCTTCCTCCTTCCTCCTGAGCCCACCCTGATGGACACAGGGTGTGTTGACCTGTCTGTAGGGTGGAGCGTGGGGATGGCATTGGCTGCTATGGTGACAGGAGGTGACACCCCGATCCAGGGCTAGGGAGCCCAGTTCTCCGGGAAAGAGGGGGGGCTCTTAGACTAGAATTGACTCAGTGGGTACCAGGAGGGGTCCTGAGGGGCTGCCCCAGGGGAGGTCCAGGATAGCCTTTGGATCAGGACAGTTCCAGTTCTGAGGGCCGTGTGTGAGTTGTGGGTGGCCTATGGTGGCCATCCTGACTGAGGACTTTGGGTCTTGTCACAGGTACTGCCTTCCTGCACCTGAGCTGGGGCTGCCTGGGTGAGCCCCTGGCTGGCATGTGAGCTCCTGGCAGGGGATGAGGCAGGCCCAGGGCCTGCAGGACACCAGCTGAGGGAGTTGGAATTGCTCTAGGGGTTTCCCTCGCTTCCTGCCTGAGCACCCCGACTCCCAGCTCAGATCCCTGCCTCTTGGGATGGTTGCCAGACTCCTAGCCAGGCTCCTGCCCATGCCCCTACTCCCCATGGGTCCTCCTTGACGGAGACCCTCCTCAAGCCCGGTGTACCTCTCTGCCTCCAGGCTCCAGTGGCCAAGACGGAAAGTCCCCATGTATCCCAGGCCAGAGTGAGGTATCTGCTCTCCCTATACCCCGCACCCCTGAAACTGACGGCCAGGTGGCCCATGTGAAACCTGCCTTTGTCCACGCTGTGGCCTCTCCGTGGTCCACCCTCACCCCGTCCCTCCAGGCCATTTGTACTTGTCCCTCTCTGGGACAGGCTGTCTGCATTCTCCCACTGGGATTGTATCTGGTCTTTGAGTACATGGCCTTTTGTTCCCTTCGAGGACACATTCCATTCTGTATCCCAACCCTGGTGTCTAGAAGGGTCCTGAGGGCTGGACTGTGGCTTCTTCCTTCTCATGATCGGTACCACGATGGCTCCTGGTGTTTGGACACATAAGTGTTGGGCAGTTTGTCTCAGAATCACACTGAAGCCTGCCTTCCAGCGGCTCCTAAGAGATGGGCGCTGCCGTTCCCTTTGAGAGATGTGGCAACAGGTCCAGAGAGATCGTGGCACTTCCGGCCATCACCGAGCTGGGGGTGGGGATGGGGCTTGAGTGCAGGGCTGCCCCAGGCCTGTGTCCCCACAGCTGCTCAGCGGGGTTGAGCTGTGGAAAGAGCCCCCAGGAGACCTGAGTGGCTGCAGGTGTGGCAGGCTCCCCTGGAACAGCTGCATTCTCCAGCCGTGGGAGGCACCGCTCCCTGGGTTATTCGTCCATTTGCCAAATCAGTGCCAGGGAAGCTGGCGGGGTGGGGGAGAGCTTGGTGCCCTCTATTGCGGATGGCAGGGCCCCTGATGTCTGGGGAGGCGGCTGAGGGGCTTCTGCTTGCCTCCTCATCAGGAGCCAAGCAGGAGAGAGAGTGGGGGCTCCTGAACCGGTCACTGGAGTGGAGTCTGGGAGCTGAGGCACCTGCTGGCCCTGTGGGCCCCTTCCTGCTTCACCAGATCTCTGTTCCTTTGTCCCCTGCCTGATTTCCCTGTTGGGCATCTCTGTGCTGACTGAGGGGGTGACCCGGTGATCGGGCATCCCTTCACAGGGCAGTGGCCAGATGGCCAGGCACCCTCATGCAGTGCCAGTCACTCACCCATCCCCACCACTCATGGATGCCTACTCCATGCCCAGCCCAGGGCCCTGCTCTGAGGACCCCAGGCCAGTCCTCCAGGATCCAGCCTCCAGGAGACCCCAGACCTTACTGGCTCCGCCCCAACTGCCCTTGCTTCTCATCTGTTTTGTTTCTGCCTCTGTTTTCTCATCTCTTGACCTGGAGAGAGAATTCGCCTGGGATTCTTGTGTCAGAGAGTGGCCCCGACTCTTGTCCTGGGCCCAGCCCAGTGAGTCCCTGGAGCACTATCCTCCAGGCCTGGGTGACACTGTGGTTCTTCCCATCCAGTGCTTCCTAAAGGAGCACCCAGAGTGTTTGTGTGTCAGAAGGGCAGGCGCTTTGACGCCCGCCTGCTGTGCTGTTTGGCTGCCCATCAGCTTCGCCCTCCCTGTTTTGCCAGGTTGGTGCTTTTCTGCCCACCTCAGGGCCTCTGCACTTGCTTTTCCTTTTGTTTTGTGTGGTCTCACACTGACTTCTCCTATTCTCACGCCCCCATTTCCTTCTGCTCCAATAAATCACCTGACCTATAATCCCCAGCAGGTACCCTCATCCCTGATCTGCTTTATTTTCCCTGTTTTTTTTTGGTTCCGGGGATGGAACCCAGAGGCACTTACCCACTGAGCAACTTAGCGAGACCCCTGGGGATGTGGCTCAGTGGTGGAGTCAGCTTTGAGTAGGTTTGACAAAGATCCCAGATTCAGGGTCCAGTGGGGGCTGTGCTTCCCCAGGAAGGAGCCGGGCACTCCCACTGCTCAAGTCCCTCCGCGCTCACCTCAGTGCCACTTGGTTTGGCTGGAATGTTTCTTGACGCAGGCCCCAGTGGCACCAGGTTCATGGCCGCCTGTGAGCTGGCTGAAGCCGAGGTGCAGGGGCCCCAGGCAGAGCCGGGCTCCTGGGTTTCCTGCCCACTGCCCCTGGGCGCGCACACTGGCTGTGCCTCAGAGGCGAGGCCCTGCCCGTGCTGGGATGCTGGGGAGCCCGGCCGCCCTGTCCCCTGCAGGGCCCTGTCTGGGAGCCCACAGGTTCAGGGAAGTCGAGGCGTTTTCCTCGAAGATCCCCCGTGTCCCCAGAACAGGTACTTGCCCCGGGCCCTGGTTCTGAGTCCTGCCCCGCCACCGTCCCATCCCCCCAGCTGTCACCTGTAGGCCCAGCCCCTGGGGCCCAGGATCTTTTTCCACCAGGACACCCTGTGACCTCACAGCGGGTGGTGACGCCACTGTGGTTTGGGGCACTCGGTCTTTTTCCACCTTGACACCCTGTGACCTCACAACGGGTGGTGACGACACTGTGGTTTGGGGCACTCGGCTGAGAGCAGGGAAGGAGGAAGTGTCCCTTCAAGGCGCTGTTATGCAAGGCACGTTGCAGGAGTGGGTTTCCTTCTGCCTGGGGGTGCGCGTGCGGCTAAGGGGGTGGGGGCGGCTGGCCTGAGGCTGCAGCTCTGTCCTCTGTCCCACCCGCCTTCCTGGGGATGTGTGACCTCTGCTCCTGGGGGCCTCCGTTGCTGCTCTGTAGCTGTTGCCTGCCGAGGTTTATGAACAACTGATTATTGTGAAGAATAAGAAGGCCTGCCTACCAGCGGTCCACACCTGGTGTGGGGTGTCCCCTCGCAGCCCAGGCACTAGTGGGTCTGATCTGCTGCGCAGAGGGATGGCGAGGCCCAAGGCTCCTGTTCCGAGAGCTGGGGCCTCCAGTGAGCCTCGCTCTGTCCTCTGGGTTGGCCTCCGCTCTCTGGTCAGCGGCCTGGCAGAAGTCCCCAGGGGGCCCTGGTTTCCTTTGCTGTCCAGAGCAGCTCAGAATCTGTTGCCGTCTGGCCTTGGCCTGCAGGGTGGCTGAGGGGTCAGGGAATTGAGTGAGCCCGAGGGTGAGAGGGCGCGGGAAGGGATTTCGGGGTGGCGGACAGTGTGTGAGAACATCTTCCCAACTGTCGGGGGAGGCCTCCTGGGAGAGGCCCGGCCGTGGATGGAGCGGGGCTGGGGCCTGGGCCAGCGCTGGCCGAGCTTCAGCTGAAGGAGAAGTTGGTCACTCGATCCAGACCTCAGCTACTCAGCCCCAGCTTGAGGTCAGCCTGAGGATCCTGTGAGCCCAGGTGCTCGCCTGGGTGGTGACCAGGGGGTCAGGCTGGGCGTGGAGTGAGGCTCGGGTGGCCCAGCTCTGGACTTGACAGTGCCAGCATCCTAGCTGCTCTGCCTGTCCTTCCTCCTGCTGCCCTACAGCCCTGGCTTCTGTCTGCCACTCTCAGAGGCCCTGGTGACCTTGTCACCAACTGTCCTGGCTTGTGTCTCCTGCTCCTCTGGGTTCACGAGCCCCAGTACTGCTCCTTCCTGCTGGTCCTTCCCGATCCTGAGCTCCCTCCCTTGGCAGGAGTCCCCATGCTCCCCGGCCACCGCCCCTCACCCCGCGGATCCGCCTGCCTCCGTCTGCTCTCAGCCTGCCTTGTCACCTTCCTGGGTCTCCCCCCATCACGC